CTTGCAAAAGCACTAAGGCCCCAACACACAGCTTTCACCAACATCTCTGATAGGAGCGCTGTAATATAATGGAGGCCCGTTTCAAGGACATTAGTACGGGACACCTTGTTAGTAGATAACCAACCTCAAGGACAGCAGTGCAGGTATTCTACCAGCAAACAAGGAGCAAAAGCAACTGTATGGCTGCTGCGTGACCACGAAGCTGATCGGATAGTCTTGATGCTCTCCCTTAGATTATTGGTCTATTCAGTAACTGTGCTTCGCATGCTTGTAGGCAAATAAGGTATTGTATCCAGGACAGCACGGTATATAAGCTTTATCTGATGCTTAATAAAACATCTTAGGTTCATTATACCGGAGGCCCTGCTCTCAATACATAATGTCATCTCCGCAAACAGAGGAGAGGAGGATAAAAATCTCAAGGATTGTAAAATTTGGGGGAAAAATGGATTTATATTTTGAATCCCATGGAAATTTTGGTGCAATTAGAAAAAAAAAATCCCTAAAATCTGTTTTTCCTTGAGACACCAGCCTGGGTTCAGGGTATGGAGAGTAGTACCCAGAATCGCCTCCAGCCAGGCCACTGGCAGGCAACACAGGAGGGAACAGCAATCCCAGCACAACAGAGCAGCCTCCTATGTTAAACCTTCCTAAACTTCCTCTATTGCAATAGCAACCAGTAAGGAAGGCGAGGGTGTCTGCCAGATCACCCCTGGCAGCGCAGCGAACACCCAGGTGCAGTAGTGCTGCTGAGGCCTCTTTCTCTCCAAAAACACAACGTGGGAGAGAGAGAGAGACAGAGAGAGAGAGAGACAAAGACAGAGAGAGAGAGAGAGAGAGAAAGAGCGCGCGAGAGCGAGCGAGCGCTCTTCAAAATTTTTATCACAGCATCTTACAACTGAGAAAACACTGTTTAACTTTTTATTTGTAAACCAGATTAGAAATACTTTGCAATATACCTTTAATTTCTCTTTTACTAAAGAAACAGCATTTAAGAACTGAAAGAACAGCACGGTGTTAAATGTTAAGGACCATAGTTTAAAAAACTTGGATCAAAAAAGGTTATAGAGGTATGATGAATTTAAGTTGCATTTTAAAGTCAGCTACTTGGGTATCTAAATGTTTTTACATGAGGTGGAAGTCTGGTCACAGCTGAGCTGTGCTCAGAGGGAAGGAGGTCTCATCCTGGCAGCCACAGCCACAAACTCTCCAACTAACTCACAGGAATCCTACATATCCGAGTGACGCCTGAGGAGGTTGGCTTGATCCACCTCATGCAAACTCGCTCTTTCTAGTAAGAAGGATATTAACTAAAGCTTTCCGTTAAGTGATAAAACCTTTCTAATTAGTAATCCAAAATAAAAATGACATGCTTGCTCTGTTTCAGGCACTTTCAAGATCATAGTTTATTTACTGTAGGTAAAAAACTAGATTAGGGGATCCCTTAAATTTCAGCTCTACAGTTATACACCATCTAAGTATTCTTGCTTTGAATAGTAACCAAAAACATTTCTAAACACCTGTAAGCCCCCACTATAAATCTGCGCTGTTATGAGGGAAAAAAAATAGATAAATGCTTAATTTGTTCAACGCATAATATTTACACTGTGAAACAAAGGGGAGATAATAACATGCAGTGGTAAAGAGGCAAGTAATTTTAAAAAA